GTGTGTGTGTGTTTATGTATGTTGTTTGGGATTTAACAAAGAAAATTGAGGCAGGTATTATTTTTTGTCTCTTGTCTCAGACATACATGGACAATCTATTCAGCTAACATTTATTTGTAATCTATGCATTGAACACCATCCAAGGAGGGTATATAAGAAGTGGATTCTGCCTGTCTGGACCCTGGTAATTTAGTTTAGAAACTGACCTTAGTAATCCTGGACCCTGGCAATAATCCAGTTCAGGAACTGACAAAACACATTGATAAGTACCAAGAGCTTACAGAGGAAGTCAGGTCTACAAGAGGTTAGAGGAACTAGAGACAGATTTTCACTGACACTGTGCAACAGGAAGATGAGGAGACAGTACATGGTATCTAGTTCCGCGTGCTAGAATTTTTCAGGATCAGGAGTGTTAGAAAGCTACTCTTAAGATAGACTTTTGGTCTTGCTCTCTACCACATTCTTTCTTGAATTTAGCAGGAGAATCATGTCTTTTGAAAAATGCCTCTGGCTCTTCAAATCAGTGCTCACTCTGAGCAGGAACAATCAGTATTTGTCTTGAATTAGTAACAGATTCAACAGCTCAGAGGAAAGGCTAGAGAAAGTTTTCAATCACTGTTACACTCACTGGCTTCTCCTGAGAAAGCCTCTAACTTCTTGCAGGAAGAGCGTGCATTATATTTAGCAACAAGTCCCTCCTTGCCCTGAAGTAAGTCAGAGAATAATGTTGAAAGCTCACCGAAAGCACAGAGAACTTGTGGGGTTTGTTACTTGGCAACTGAGATCTGCGATGTTAAAATAAGAAATCTGCATTACTTTACAATTTTTTAAATGCAGTGCATGCTACTTTCTTTTCGAGAAGGGAGAAAATAAGATTAGTATAGTGTCAATTTCTGACTGTTGAAGACATCCCAGTCTCATTGGGCCAGAGTTGAACTCTTTCTTTATATTGTCCTCTGAGATAGATATTTGTGCATCCTTAGTCTCCAGGTGATGCGACAAATCTCATCAGAGGCCCAGAGATACCAGGAAAAAGCCAAATGAATATTCAGACTGGAAAGAATGTTATCAGGAAGTGAGGAATTCTCTCTTGGATGTGGTGCATGGTGACATGGTGAGGATACAGAGAAACTGTTGCAGCCTCTCCACTTCTAGACTTTCCTTTCGAGGCCTAGGCCTACTTCTTTCCTCTTCCCTTCATACCTTTGAACTTGTCCCTGACTCTATATGCAACATCTGAGAAAGTATCAGTATGCCATGCTAATGCCTCAAATGCACCTTAGGACACTGGCAAAAGTAAATGAGCTATGAGACAAGAAGATGGAACGATTTGTGTAGCTCCTTGGAGAAAGTGGGGTGGGGGTGCGTTTTCCTTCCTCCTCCTCCTCCTCCTCCTCCTCCTCCTCCTCCTCCTCCTCTTCTTCTTCTTCTTCTTCTTCTTCTTCTTCTTCCTCTTTTTAAATAAGACTTGGTTGAATCTTTGTGTCTCTGGGTCATATAAAACTCAGAGGGGTACTAGGTATGCTGAATGCTCTGGATTCCATCGAGTTTCTTGTTCTATCTCTCCTGTCATCCTACAGTTGTTATTAAGGCCTGGGATCCTGCAGTCACATTCCACGTTGGTGAGTAAATAGAAGGGAAATTCCTAGGGTCAACTGTTCTCACAATCTGGCTGATAGAAACTTTGTGTTCTGAGAGGGCTAACTTTTGATGGTTTAGAAGATGACGAAGGTAATTGACCATGTTGCAACCTTCGTATTACATGCTAAACAAAGAAATGTGTATCCTGCTTTTATTGAGAAATGATTTTTTAAAAACACCATTTTCTTCTATGTTGCCATGATCTCGTAATTAAATCAGGAGGGTGCACTATTGTAAGCTGACACTTGATAAGACTGTAAGCTTTGTTGCTATGTTCCTCTTTATATCTGCAATTATCTAGAAGGGGTCAGGGTATATCATAGGTATGAAATACATATCTGTTGAATAAATAGTTTACAGGATGTACTACATATGCACAGTGTAAAAGAGAATTGTTTTGTCTGATATTACAGGAGATTAAACTCTGACTCAAGTTACTTGATATTTTTCTAGACAAAGATCTCAGGACATGGCTGTTTATATTTCATAAATTCTGTAACATTAGATGTTTTTTGATCTGTTCTCTGTTTGACAAAAATGTTATCTGAAGAGCCTTTCATCTAAAAGCTACAGACCTGAGAATGCAGTTTTTCTTATGTTTCTTCCATATGGAATACTCAGTGGCCCTTACAAAAGGACATCTATTGGATGGTTCCTATGGGGAAATTTTTAGGACATTCTGAATGAATGATATCAACTTATTTTCAGTAATTACCCAGAGTATCACCAAGTATGGATAAATGTCATTGCTGGAGTTTGAAGAGTTGTAGCTGGTAATCTGTTTAGATAATTCATAGGAATAAGTACTTACTAACCCCCGTATTGGTGTGGGCTAGTACTAACACAAGTAGTATGTAGAATGTAGTTGGAAAAACAGACAGAAGTATGTGATAATTAATTACAAATTATGGGAAATGATGTGATAGACTGGGTCTAGATTACCAGAGAGGAAAACTATTTGGACTGAGGAGAAAGGCTGAAACTGTGTTTCAGATTGAAACACAGTTGAGTTCTTCCTGTCCAGGTATCTTCTGGAAGGCCAGAGGGGGTCATGTGCAAACAGAGCAGGGAACAAACATTTCAGGTAGAGGATGGGAACATGGCTCCAGTCAAGGATTCATAGCTCCAGAGTATTTATACTTATAGAAGAAGCAATATGGAACTTGGAATGCTGAGAATAATACAGTTGGGGATTGCAGAGAGATAGAGGGGTACAGATAATCCAGATTGTCTGTGTAATGACTGCGGAAGCCAACAGGGTCTGTAGATACGTGCTATGCTTTGTTCTCTACGTTCTCTACATCTAGAATTGTTTGCAATTTTACATAACAAAATATTTACTGAAGACTTTTGTTGGCATGATTGTTGTCTGGTTCAGCTTGGGAGCCATGATCCCCTTTCTCCATTTGCTGTTTTAGCAGTGTTGAAACTGGTGGTCTGAGGATCACATTAGTCGAAACATTTGCAAGACCAGCAATGCTAATGTTCTCAGTATAGAATAATCTCTTTGCTATAAATGAAGGATTTCATGTTTGGGGTGGGGGTCGTTATTCTATTTATTTATATTTTTGAAGGGATTTTTGGCTACAAAGCTCAGTTTGATCTTAAATGCATGGTTTTCCTGCCCCATTCCTCTAAGCTCTGGGATTCCACATTTTATGGGTTTTTTATGAAAGAACAGAAATAGTATGTTTTAGGTAGTATGACCATGCTCAGTAAGAAAATGTTCCCAAAGTATAATTTATATGTAATAACATTCATATATCTTAAATATATGCATTCTTAACACCGTGGAGCTGAAGGATGGAATACTTAAACACTTCAGAATTTTCGAGAAAGCACGTGTAGTTTCTCTTACTTGGTTGAAGAAACTGCTAAACTGACTTTTATTATTATAACAGACATTTCTGCTGTGAAGTAGTCATTATGTTGTGCCTCTTCACTCGAAGTCTGGATACAGTCCATCCTTGTGCCAGTGTACATCATTGCACTATTGAGCAGCTATTGTCTTATAAATAAATGCAACTTGTGTATCCATTCGTTGGTGGAAGTTGGGTTGGTTCTGAATTTGGTCTACTGTAAACCAAATGACCATGCACATCTATATGCAACTCTTCTTTGTGCACATGAGTGCTTCCTCTTAAGTCAATAGCTGGGTAGTATATCAAGGGTGCTTGACCATTGTAGAAACCGCCAACGTGCTTTTTAAACTATTTGAACCATGTTGTGTCCTTAAAGGCAGTTCATGAGGACTGTCTTCACATTTATACATTAAGTATGGTATATTTAATTCAGCCAGCTTCTAAATCTCAGCCAGTGTAGTGGGTACAAAATAATATCATAGCATAATTTTAACTTACAGTTTCCAAACATCAAATGTTGAACTTTTGGATTACTGTATATTCTGAAAAGTATATTGAATTAACTGCAGGTCATGTGCCAGCAAAAGGGGATGTCAAGTTCCAATCCTAAGCTATAAGACTAGACCTAGTCTCCAAAACCAGACAAGCTAAAAACAAAACAGAAGTCAATAAAAGTCCTTTCCCCTTTAATATGTTACATTGTTTACTGTATTGATTTGAAAAGTAATTTGCATATTCTAGATATACTTCATCATGCTTTAATCTAGTGAAAGGATTTAATTTTTTAATACTATCTTTAATTTTTTCCTGCCTTCATTTAATAAATCTTTGCCTACCACATGACACAGCATATTTCTGAACTCTCTATTCCCCCATCCTGATGGCTTTAACAGTATCGAAAGCTTTAAGTCAAGTTCTGTAAATTGTCTTTATAAACAGGAGTTCCTCTCCTAGTTCCCTGTGTTTCTATACACTTCTTAGAATCAGCTTGTCACTTATTTTAAAAATGTCCTGCCAGGTGGGTGATTTATACTCCATTTCTCAAAAAATTTCTCAGCAATGCCATAGTTTTACATATAAAGGCTTTGGATGACTTTTTATTAAATTCATACTTAGGGTTTTAGGTCTTTTGAGAACATTGTACATGTATTCTTTTGACATTTTACTTTTCCAGACATAATGGCATGCCTGTAATTCCAACATTCAAAAGACGGAGACAGGAAAATTGCTGAGAGTTCAGGGCTACAAACCAACTTTCAAGTTTGTCTTCAGAAGATAAATTATGATTGTCATATTGAGATTATAGAATATACTCACAAATACAGATCATTATATTACTACCCTCTTTATGAGTTATCACTTACCCCCACCCCCAGCTGAACTGAATCTCTTGCAAAAACAACAAGGCATCCAGACATGAAATCATTTGAATTAAGTCCTGCCATGTCCACAGCGCTTCCTCCTCTTTTGACCATGCCTTCCTTCCTGGAACTGCAGGTGATTCCATAGTCCCATACTGTTCACAAGTGGGTAATCCTAGAAGACTGCCGAGCCTGGATGACTGAGGAGAAAGGCCGATCACTTGGAGGAGTGGTCCAGAGCATGCAATTCAGAGTGTGATTTTTACCGTAGACACACAGGTAGGTAGATCTGGATTTTCTGGATTTTAGGATAAGTTTTGTGCTAAGTTGAGTAGTTGAGTAAGTTTGTTTGTGTAAACTGTCCTATAGGGGACCTAAAGAAAGTTTTTCCTCCTCTAAAATTGGTATATTATCAAGTCCTGCTTTGATTACTTTATGCAACTTTTCTGATGATTAAATGACCCTTGGAAGCAGCAAACTTTTAGCCAAATGTTAACTGCAAATAAGGCTGAAGCTTTGTGTGTGTGTTTGCCCATGCGTGTGTATTTGTACATGTGTGTGTACATGTATGTGTGAGAGAGAGTGTGTATTACTGTATATGTGTGTGTGTGTGTGTGTGTGTGTGAAGAGGTCAGGATTTGATATTAGATGTTTTTCTCTGCCATCCTTCATCTTATTTTTTTTTTTTTTTTGAGACAGGGTTTCTCAGGAAACCTGAAATTTGCTTATTGGGCAAAACTAGTTGGCTAGAGGACCACTAGAAATATCTTGTCTCTGGCTGTCTAGAGCTAGGGTTACAGGCATGTTCCTTCATATGTGGTTTTTGGGTGTGCTGGGTATGTCATGTGTGTTTGTTGGGGATCTGAATTCAGGTCCTCATCCTTCACTGGCACCCACTTGCAGATATATCCCACATCTATAGTCCCTGGAACCTTTTTTGAATAGCTATGCAAATATGGTTTTTGTTTTTTAATTTGGTACAAAGAAAATGTGAAAGGGGAGCAGTGACATAAAATAGGTAAGTAGGGCTGTTGAGATGGCTTGGTAAGGACTTCTGTTGCCAAAATTGCTAGCCTGGGTTCAATCTCCAAGACATTGGTGGAGGAAAAAGAAAGTCAATTCTTGACCATTGTGTCTGACCTCCACACATGCAACATGACAGGTGCTCCATCCAATGAAACAAATAAGTACATGCAATAAACTGTATCTTCTAAAAATTAAAAATAAAGCAGATATCTACTGTGTGCCTGCCAGGGACTTACACACATGATTTCTTCTCATCTCTGCTACAGCCCTGTGAGAGTACAGCAGGAATTCTGAGATAAGAGTTATCATCTTCCCTTAGCAAACGAAAACTAAACTTCAAAGAGATTATATAATATGCCAAAGGTTCTTTAGTTTCTAAGTGTCTAGCTCTTAATCTCTTCATTTTCCACAGAGCAAACTGTCTAGATGAGGAACTTGAGAATGTTGAAATGAAATGTGAAGAAGGAATATGGGACATTCAGGACTCACTCCCGGGGCTTCTGCATTTGCTCGAGTTTTTTTTTTTTTCTTCATATAATCACCCTTGACCACTGTATATTCCTCACCTTCGAGGGGCAAGACAGATGAAAACACTCTCCAAGTTATGGCATTTGCATAGATTTCATATTTATCTTCAGTGACTGTACTGAAGTCAAATCTTGTTTCTAAAGTGCTTAGCTGTGCTAGACCCATGGTAGATGCTGAAGAGGATGCTATAACACAAGTCCTGCCCTCAGGAAGCTTTGTCTCTAGATATGGAACAGGATGCATCCTCAGGTAGATCACTCAAGGTAATTTCTGACAGCACACAGGTAGTGCCATATGAAAGCACAGAAATTCATGCAACGGGAATCGGAGGGCACTGCCAGTGCAAGTGAGTACTTGGACTTTGATTGAAAGGAAGGATTCATGTAAGGAAGAGGGTATATTTCTTGACAGGAAATGATGTGATGGGAGATATGAATATATACCCTTTTCTGGAAGGAGCACACAAAGGGCATACAGCTGGAGGATTGCCTGATCTGTGCAGCTGAGCCTGAGGTCTGGAGAATCTGAGTGCCTAATACACAATTGAACACCCAAACACCAGTGACCATCTTTGAGATTTTGGCTGCTGAACTAATCACACACAGATGTACACACACACACACACACATACACACAGAGACAGAGAGACAGAGAGAGACAGAAACATAGAGACAAACACACACACACACACACACACACACACTCACAGCCTCTCATGCACACATGTGCACAACACTCATTGCCCATGTCTGAAACTGATGCAACAGAGACATTGATCACCCAGTGCCTCAGGGAAGACCCAGTGACAGAGCAGGAAAGTGCTAATGCACCATCCTCACAAAGTAAATGTGGGTTTGAATTTCCATTGCAGTCATTAGTAATGGGGTGCATGTCTGGAGAAGGCAATTCACTCCACTGCCTATCGGCTTCATTTTTTTTTTTTTTTTAGTCTGTAATCATCTTTGCTTTTTGCTGTGTCTTCATAGCAAGGTTAATTCTTTCACTCGGCCACCCCCAGTCCCTTCACCTTTCCTATGGAATAAATCTTCCTATGTCACAATCTGAATCTGTAAAGATGGAAGGCTGTGCTTTTCCCTCTCTACCTAAATTAAGAAAAGACTCACAGTGCTAGGCTGGAAGTAGCTAGTGACTTGCTAGGATATGAGTATGTACAGTCTTTAGCCTGAGAAGCTGCAAATCTTAACTCAAATGGTGCAATCTATTAAAAGAGAAGACTGTTCCTCAGTAGTAAGTGACTTACTTCAAATGGAAAACCCAACCCAAATGGGAAGAAAAGGATCATGGAAATAACAGTGTTTAAGAAGATTTTCTTATTTCAAAATACAGTTCATGTACTTATTCATTCATTTATTTGTTTATTTACTGACTGATAGAATTTGTCTTGAGGTAACTATTGCTGTGAAGAGACATGACTAAGGCAACTTATAAAAGAAAGCATTTAATTGGGTGTTTTCTTAGAGTCTTAGAGGGTTAGACTGTGATTGTCATGGTAGGCAGGCAGGCAGGTAGGCAGGCGTGCACGGGAGCAGTATCAGAGCATTTACATCTGATCCACAAGATGGAGAGAGAGAGAGAGAGAGAGAGAGAGAGAGAGAGAGAGAGAGAGAGGCAGTGATGAGAGAGAGACAGTGATGAGAGAGAGAGGGAGGGGAGAAACTGAAGTGAGCCCACCTCCAGTGACACACTTCTTCCAACAAGGCCACACCTCTTAATTCTTACCAAACAGACTACCAACCGGGAAGCAAACATTTAAGTTCATGAGCATATGGGGGCCATTCTCAGTCTAACCACCACAGGGTCTTACAAGAGAGTGCAGGCTAACTTGAATGTACAGTCTTCCTGCCTTAGCTTCTAGAGTGCTGGAATGATAGACATGCACCACCACTCCTGACACTGCTTTAAAACAACAGAAAAAAAAAAAGGTCATTTCCACTGCTTTATTTGAAAACCCATGGTAGCCAAGCATGGTGGTTCATGCCTTTAGTCTCAGTACCTGAGAGGCATAGAAAAGAAGATTTCTGTGAGTTTGAGGTTAGCCTGGTCTACATAGCAGGACAATCAGGACTACACAGAGAGACCCTGTCTCAAAAAGCCAAAATCAAAACATAAGTAAGGCCATGGCGCATAAATGGGCACAGACAGACACGTCATTTACAGCGCTGCAGGAGAGCACAGTGAGCAGCAGCTGAGTGGGACAAGATGCTGAGGCCTCTCTGCTCTGGTCTTTCACCACGTGCTGTACCACCACGTCCCTACCATTTGAGACACGCCACAGACACGGTGAAACTATGTACCTAGGGAGAAAGGCGCACGTGCTGTGGATGGGGGAAAGCCTGAGCACTCTTCATTTTTATGAGCTGCCAAGCTGTGCTGCTGGCTAATGTTTACATTACCAGAGGAATGTGATTTTAATATTTAGCTCATTCTGCTCGAATATGCATTTAAATAGGAGAAATGCAGGCTCCAGTATGATATTTCTGTCAAGTTTTGTGTACATAAATGCACATACAGACAAACACACACTGAGACACACATGGGAGTTGGGCAAGCACACGTAATGTTTTCCAGCTTGAATGGTTGAGAGTCTTTCATTGTATGCAAAGAGTAATACTTACCATGCAGAAGGAGAGGGTCTAAGATGGCAGTGTTTGCAGCTACAAAGGGAACCCAGTGTGCATGGGACATCTGTGGCCACTGAAGGAGATGGAAGTACCACGGGGACAGCTGCAGCATCGACGAATCCCAGTGACCTAGATTCAGCTATAGATCGCAAACTGCTGGCCAGTGTGGCTAGCTCTGTACCAACAGCCTGTCTGCAGTTCCATGGGCTGCCTGGCAGACAGCGATGACCCATTTCACCATGACAACCTGGGCTGCTCTCCTAAAGGCTGTGTGCAGGGAAATGCTCACTGTCAGCAATTTAAAGATTCCAAAATTAAGTTTACTCAGAGTTTTTAAAACACCCATCTCAAAAATCCAACTAAAACAGACATTCTTTGACAGTGTTGGAAGAGTTGGAGAAGACAGATGAGAACAAGTGAGTGTTAGCCTCTTCCCAGTCTTGCACTATCAGCAAAACTATCCACTTTGTGTCTTACTCGGCCAATGACATCATGATAAACACGTATCTAATCAAAATGAACTAGTCGTTCTCCAAAAGAAAGAACAAACAGGTTAAAAGACTAGGGGGTTATCTCCCACTGCTACACGTATTCTGATCTTTTAAAACAGAAAGTATAGAATCAAATAATTTCACAATAAGTAAATGGAAGGGTTTAAAGTGGATTTATTACAGCCTTGGCTCAGAGTTAATGTGGACAGAATTGAGTTTCATTGGAGTACTACAATAGTGTGCCCCTTGAGGGGGAAACGGGTCTGTGCTTTGGTAAAGGAATTCCATTTAGGGAGAGCAATTTAGGAAAATCAGGCCCTGGTATGTGCATGTGATCACATTAAAATGTAACCTCTGCTTGTCTGATGAAAACCACAGCCCAGAAGTGATGGCATTTGCAGGCCTTTACACTGAACGCCATATGCCGGGCTCGGTTTTTTTGTTGAGTTAGTTCAGGAAGGTAAATCTTAGAACCCCCTGAAGTTTGCTGTTTTGTGCACAGGAAAGGGAGTCACATCAGGCTAAAGAATGGCTCAGGGCTTATTACCAAGGCTATAGCTTAGGTCTGGGCCAGAGAGTATTTACTCAGGTG